GCTTTATTCGTAATGAGGATGTTTGAGCTGAGACGAAGCGGAAGAGGTAAACCTACTTCACGTCTGCAGCGCCATTGATCACTGGTCTTACTCTCTTCCTACTACCTGAAATCTTCAGACTACATTAGTGAAATCTCTCTGATAACCCTTAGATTTCCCCCCGTTTTGCACCAAGTTGGATGTTCCCCTATATACCTCCTCTAATCCTTCTACTACGGAAGTGGTTGTCCCAGTAAGCCGTCCGCGATTTTTCCGTATGATTATCGAACGATCATGATGGCGGACAATTTGAGTGGCTCACCTCAGTCCGACACTGGTCGTGTTCTCTGTCACGTTGTGTGATTATCAGCCAAATGGACTACACCGGGCTAGAACACTCTGTTACTTCAGATTAGTATCTGACTGTTTGCTAAGGCTAGCCAGACTTTGATGCATAACACAAAAGACTACTAAAGTCAATAACATGGGCAAGCCCATGTTCCCTTTATCCTTGCCAGAAATGCGAACGCAAGCCGACCGTTCTCCGTCTGTGGTATGTCTTCAGGGCCATGTTAGAACTATTTTCTTACTACAGAACCAAGTTTGCATAGTTATTACAGGTCCAACTTAACCAATGTTTCACAGATCCATCTTTGCAGAGTAACGACAATTCTAACCATACATAGTTATTACAGTTCCGACTTTACAAATTTACAACTTATCTAACTGAGTGAAGTTACCACAGACTTAAAATGTAGAAGTTACCGCAGATATAACTTTGCGAAATTCCCGTAGATCTAATTTTAGAAAGTTACCGACATATTCAGCTTCGAACAGTTACAGATTCAACTTTGTATGGTTACCATAGATTCAATTTTTGCAAAGTTACCTAAGACGTAACTTTATGAAGTTAATACAGATCCAACTTTGTATGGTTGCCATAGATTCAATTTTGCAAAGTTACCAAAGACGTAACTTTGTGAAGTTAATACAGATCCAACTTTGTATGGTTGCCATAGATTCAATTTTTCAAAGTTACCAAAGACGTAACTTTGTGAAGTTAATTATAATACAGATCGAACTTTGTATGGTTACCATAGATTCAATTTTGCAAAGTTACCAAAGACGTAACTTTGTGAAGTTAATTATAATACAGATCCAACTCTGTATGGTTACCATAGATTCAATTTTGCAAAGTTACCAAAGACGTAACTTTGTGAAGTTAATACAGATCCAACTTTGTATGGTTGCCATAGGTTCAATTTTTCAAAGTTACCAAAGATGTAACTTTGTGAAGTTACTACAGATCCAACTTTGTATGGTTACCATAGATTCAATTTTGCAAAGTTACCAAAGACGTAACTTTGTGAAGTTCATACAGATCCAACTTTGTATGGTTACCATAGATTCGATTTAGCAAAGTTACCTATGATGTAACTTTGTGAAGTTAATACAGTTCCATGTGTGCAAAGTGTTCAACTTTGTATAGTTACCACAGATCAAACGTTGGATAGTAATCAAATCTAAATATGCATAGTTATCATAAATCAAACGTTTTATGCTTATCAGATCTAATTATGCATAGTTATCACAGATCAAACTTTGCATAGTTTTCACAGCTGTAATATGAATGAAATGTTATGTTTTGTTGAGGGCATGTCAATCCTGTAAATGTGTATCAAATGAGGGAACGGGACACGGGTGGCCCAGTCGTCTAAGGCGCCGCAATTCGCTGTGCAGAGTTGCGTCCCTTGGGCACGCTAGAAACTTAAGATAGTTGGTTCGAATCCCGGTTCGTAAAAGTGGTAAACGCCTGAGACCTGCATCACTTCGGGATTTCGTTCCACATCAAGATGACGCGCAGTGATGTAACTGGAAAACTGTTAAAAATAATTTATTTCACAATTTTGGTCGCAGCAATATTTTGTGGTGTGGAGTTTAGTTCCGCGACCACATCAGCAGACGACGGCTCGAATCAATCATATCAAAGACATAATCAAATATTGATCTACAAACTATTTTATCCACTATATCCTCAATACTTAAGACCAAACAGATAATGATTGATATCTACTCCATGGATCAGAAATAATGTCCTCTTGATCAATACGTGTACCATATCAAGCCTCCTGCTGGAAAGTGAGACGGCCAAAGGACGCTATTACAGTCCCTGAGAACGTCTATCTCTGCAGGATCAACACAAATGTCCCTGAAATGGAATGATGTCTTGAATCGGATTATAGTTGTATCAAGCACATTTAGCCTCTCGTTACTAACAAAAGCATTCACTGGCAAGAAGTAAAATCGACTAATAGACCAATAAATATGTCTGTGTCCGTTCTATAAGTATACACTACTTTCTAGAATGCTGTCTATAGGTATATATTAAATATCCTATTCATTCTTTCTTCGCAAATACCATGACAAATCAATTATAAATAACATAATGTAGGGGGGATGAGGATTTGGGCAAGAAAGTATAAATAAAATATTAAAGATATAGATTAAGTTAGTAATACTAACTGTTATACTAAGTATTATGTCTCATTATTCCAAAACGCAAAACGTCATTGTTGTAATGTAGCTATAAAATGTGTACATTTCTACTGCGAAACTATTATTGTGAACTAGACATCACGTCCTTTTTGCGAACACCTGGTGGCATGACTTATTTTAGTGATCAATTCATATCATTTTCCTTTTAATCCCAACTAAATCTGTTTTTTCTGATAACCGAAACTGGTTATTGTCTGAATATTCTCTGACTAACCAGGTATATAAATTTTAGCTTTTAACTTATTGAAGTGACATGTATTTTGGACCTTTCACGACTAACGGATACTTTTAGGGATAATCATTTTTCTGTCCAAAATATAAAACGTCAGCTAAACGTTGAAATCGGCCTGGTGACACGACAGCATTATTCATAAAATATCTACCTTGCCTAATCGGTGATCGGGGCTTATGCATTACATGATCGTTACTGTATCCTGCATTCATTGAAGCACTTGATGTCATACACACTTTGATGACGTTATATTAAATAACGTCATCAAAGTGTGTATGACGTCATGTCTGTCGAACAGCTGTTTTAAGTACACCTGAAAAGAGTGATAAGAACATTACTAATAGCTTGGTATTTACAAAGGCGATAAACATTGTGTTTTGTCTTATTTCCGGCTGTTTTTGAGTATGCTCGATATTTTAACAACGAAAACCCACAAACATCTGTAAATCTCTGAAGACGCATACCATTTATGTTCTAATGTCACGATACCTGGGTGGAACCGCTCAATAACGTGAATAACCTATGCTTTCTGTGGATCATAAAAGAAGCGGATATTGTAACTACTCCATAGAAACAGCGACACTAATTAGAGAGAAAATCGTATGATGGATACTTCCGCACTGGTCAATGGTAGTTTCACTGTTTCCAGCAGGGGATAATAAGTAGATTGTCACTCGTAGAACACGTGTGGAACTACACATGGTACTTGATTTCTTATCATTTCTGATTGATGAGAGAAACTTGAAAATGAATGCAAACTTTAAAATTGTTGTATAAATAGATAATCTAAATGTTATTTACATTTTAGAATGTTCAATGAAGAATGTATGTGAAATTTTATAAATATATATGATAAATATTTGATTGATACAATTCTAAACGCATTTTGCAAAACACCAAAACCGTGTCAAAACCGGAGAAAAACTGGTCTCTGAAACAGATTCTATTGCGCGTAAAAGCAAAACAAGCGGTGGAAATGATATGAATGGATCACTGAAAAGCAGCGATGACACCAGATGTTCACGAAAACACTCAAACAAAACTTTAATCAAACTAAAATACTCAAATTCTTTTATAAACGACATTTAACGGCGTGCTAACATTTGTCTTTCTATACCGCTTCAACCTGCAACTGGTATAAGGTAGTATTCATTGTGTGTGCCCTACCAAATGTACTGGCGGGTATAAGATTTGTAAGATTATTAAATGAGAAATCGTATTGAAGGACTGGTCATTGTGTTGTACGGGCGGTCGCTACGGGGAAATGATTGCAATTGGACATCATTTCGTCAATCTTCCCAATCATTGTCTCATGACAGTTAAAGATGCGTTACCTCTGACAGCGGTGTAGGCAGGCTTGTGGTCAGCAGATGGTAGGCCACGATCCCAGTCCCGACGTAACTTAGCCGTGACCTGAGGCTCTGGACAGTGGTCAGACAAAGTCCCAATCCGACATAAACCATGATTTGATTGTTATCGGAATATGCATGTGGTATGATTAGTAGTCTAGAACTGGTGTCATAGGTCACGTGAAAGTGTGAGATGAACCACTACCACTCTACTGCTGTCAATCATAATGTCACTGTCAGTCATTTGAGTTTTGTTTGATGCCGGGTTTTAAGCTGAACCATACAGGCTGCAGTCTTCTTATACCACATGGGTACTGCTGGTCACTATTTCTCCAAGCACAATAGACGTGTCAGGTCATGGATTCGAATCCTAGATTATGATCCTTGAATTCGCACCATCTGGTCGTAGGATTGACCAAAGTGTAAAGGTCTGCGATCATGCGAGCATGCTACTCACATTAAGAACAGCAGTGCCATTACATAATTATATAACTGAGATATTGTTCAAAGCGGCGACTGAACCACGGATGCTGCTTGTACAGACATATCTGAATAACTTTCCTTGGGCGTAATTATTGTTTGCAATGTGATGGTATTTCACTTCGGTCATACAACATGTATTGTTTGTTTTTATTCCCATATTCGAATATGTACGTATTTATGAATTTTATATGTGTAAACGTATGGTGTCATCACTTAACCTTATTGTTTCACGAATGTGAAAAGGATTACCGTTGGCATTTTGACGGTGATATTGCTTGATGTATTTATATTTACATTTGACTTTTCTTTTCTACATTCCTTCTGCCCAATGCATCTGAATTCATCTAAAGATTAAACAATTTGAATATGATAATCCTTAACATATTGGATCTCTATTCCAGAACCAAATTGCCCCATGGATCTGAAAAGTTTCTTCTGCCTTATCCTCCCCACGCTCGCCACCCTCCAGTTGTCCTTGGCGGAGGATCCCAGTCTGGTGGAAGGGGTGAAGCCACTTAGTGGGGCAGGGCAGAGACCCTTACAAGACAGTGACAGTGCCGCAGACAAAAGGCAGTGGTCTAATTTCCATAGTTGGGGCAAACGATGGGGCAATTTTGGAACAGCGGGCAAGAAATGGGCATCTTCTGACTTTCCTGCCTGGGGAAAACGATGGTCCGGGTCATCGTTCACGTCTTGGGGCAAGAGGAACGCATCTCCAGAGGAACAAAAAAGGAACTGGAACCAGTTTATCACTTGGGGCAAAAGGAATTGGCACGCTCTAACTTCGTGGGGCAAACGTTCACAGGAGAAGTCTGAGAAGAAATGGAACACTCTTCCTACTTGGGGCAAACGGGCAGGCTGGGACAATGGCTTCGCTTCATGGGGCAAACGCGACGAGGTCGATGTCAGGGACCAGTTAATGAAACTGTTCGATGAAAGCGGTAAGTCATATTTTACTTTACGTTACACCTACAGGGACGGTTGGGAAGGCTTGTTGTTTAAACTTTGGATCATGCAGAGCTAAGTCACTACATGGGTACCGAGTATGACGTACATTCCCCATCTTCCCGAGGCAAGAGAGTTAACTGACTTTAAAAGTCCAGTTTCCACCCTTGCCGAACTAGGCTGGAATAACTGTGCTCGATCGTAGCGCCACCAGTGGCCATTACCAGTTATGTCCCTTCTAAGCCTCTCCGATGGACCAATCAGATTCCAATTCTCGTATCACTTGCGTTTGCTTCATACAAAATGGTGGCGCCCAGTCAGGACGATCTGATCAATGATCAAGATCTATATTGTGATAAAACGGTTCTTACATCGCGAAATGCATCAAATCACGTGAGCACCTTGAAACGTGGAAAAACATGAAAAGATTTGGAAAATTTCTGCTGACAACGAGATATATGCTGTACATGCTTTGCAAATCCTGCAATTGACCGAAATCTGTACGACAGTTTACGAACCGGATTTCGATTTCGGTGCGCGATTTTGATTGGACTATGCATAGACTCGTTAGTACAGCCAAAATTTAACTCCATAATACCAGCCTAGTTCGGCAAGGGTGGAAACTGGACTTTTATAGTCAGTTAACTCACTTGCCTCGGGAAGATGTACATTCCCCCACCGTGATGTAGTTGCCATGTATATCTAAAAGCGGATTTAAACTACACTCCCTCACTGCCATATATATCTACCAAATTTCATTGATAAATCAAACTCATATCGTCATCCTCAGTACTTGTAACATCAGACGATTTATTCACAATTCAGTGATGTCATAGTCAGTGCTGAAACGTCTCCAACCAATGGATGACATTCCAAAGTTTTTGGATCAAAGGATTTTAGTTACAGTAGCTTTACAATACTGTTGATAGGGCTACTTCAACCAATCAGTGTCCGTAATTTCTACAACAGCCAAAGAAATGCGTACTGTAGCGGATATGCCCCCTTCGCATTAACAGTTCATGCAAATCATTCGATTTCCGTTCCTACATTGTCAGCACATCTAGATCATGATGGCCTCGAGGAAACTGAATAAAGGAATGAATTGAGAAATGGAAATGCAAGATGTCCATCCCATATCGAGAATGAGAAAAATCAAACATGTCTTTCATGGCTACTCCATTCATCAAATAAGATAAATATTGTATAAGATGGCAGTATGGATATTCGCCATTATGAACCATTAGTGTGTAAGGCAAATTCAAAGATTCCTTTATGTGTAAGAAGAAAATGGATTGCTGTCTAAATATTACTCCTACGTTAATGGGTATAGATACAACGTTGTCATTTTCCCTCGTTAACCTAATGTAACAATTCAGGGCTATAACCATTCGATAAAACACGTGATAGGACTGACAGGCGCACAATTCTCTTATCTTAATTGAATAAATTTCAATAAATACCAATGTGAATCATGGGTTTCATTGTACCAACTTAAATAATTACAAACTTTTATTGGAACGAAATCTTGGCGTCTTGTAACAGATGCGTTACCGTTTGAAGTATTCCAATTAAAAAAACCCCCATAAAACATTATATGCAAACACTTAAAGCATTCGGCCTGGTGTCATCGCTGATTTTCAGTGATCCTCTCATATAATTTTCACCGCAATTTTTCCTTTTACGCCCAATTGAATCTGTTTCGGCGGATAATCGAAACTGTTTATTTTTTGACGTTATTGTTGTATATTTTAAAAAAGGGGCAACGGGATAGCCGGGTTCTATCCCGCTCGTATGCACAGTACACTTTCGTGAGGAGACCATAACAGTTTTGAACACTGCGTTAGGACCAACTAACACACTTCCTCGCCATTTCGAAAATCACTGCCAGTACAAGATTGTTTTATCAAATAGTAGCTTCTCAAAGGTGTATTAGTAAAACCCTACATTACTTTAACATGTCCATGTCGGCAAAGTCTTTCAAGTTCAAGTGGACCTAATATTGATTAATTGTCACTCACTGAAGGCGTTTTATCTCGTCCTGTCCCATGCCCACTCAGAACAGTAGGCCTTTATTTCTTGACGATTATACACAACTTGAGTGTCACGCCGTTTTGATGTTGGTTTTTAGGTAGCCCTCAAACACCGTGGAACTAGATCACCGTCAATAAGAACATGATCAAGAAAGGTTACTGATCTCAATGTTCAATGTCACAGCACTACTTTCTGAGCACAAAGGTCTTACCTGCTAGAGAGTTAAAGGCGTAGTAAATGTTATTGAGGGGGCATTGGTGACCAGGTCGTCGAAAGCGCTGCAATTAATTGTCCATTGGGCCTGTCAGAATGGGTGGGTTCAAATATCAAATTCGCCACGATTACAATTCTTTGTCAGCACCACACCCGCGCTGATTATAAAATAGAAATAAACGCCCATAACTTGCATAACTTCGGGGGATTCCGTGTACGTTGAACTGACGCCGTGATGTAACTGCACTGATTTTCAAAGCGTCAAACCCATCACGCTGAAAATAATTGCAACGTTATCACGGCGTACTTTAAACAAATAGCCGACAGTGTCAGCAGCTGGTTCGAAGTAAACATGAAACAAATTAGTCGTAAACCGGTAGAGTAATGGAGGAATTGTAAACTATAAGTGCAATAACATTGAGATGTTTGCAAACACAATATCGAAATCACTTCAAAAGTTGTACCACTATTATTGAAATAGAATGCTTCGGGGCCTTACTTTGGTAAAGAACCTTACTTCTAACGATGGCCATCAGTTTAACATAACTGCCGTTTGTTAGATTGCTTGGGAACACTGGAGGAAGGGAGTGAGTGAGTGAGTATGGTTTTACGCCGCTTTTAGCAATATTCCAGCAATATCACGGCGGGGGACACCAGAAATGGGCTTCACTCATTGTACCCATGTCGGGAATCGAACCCGGGTCGTCGGCGTGACTAGCGAACGCTTTAACCACCAGGCTACCCGACCGCCCCCGCGAGGGAGTGAGGTACAAGTAGCTATGATTGTAGTCTCGTAGGCATTGGAACATATTCCCATAAAAACCTATGGTAGAACATTTACCTTAAGTGTTAATAAACCCTGTTTTTATTCTGTCACATCTATTTTATTGGGTATTGAAATCAATCAGTAGTTTCTCATAAAGGGTAACCAGTCCAAATAACGTACTTGTCAACAGTCATTCTATTCGATTCGGTTCGCTCTCTGTGACAAGCTAGGCCTACTTTGTCCCGGGTTATGCTACTTACGTTGATGGAGAAGAAAGATGTGAAGTGAATCTGGGAAAGGCCGTTGTGTGTCGCTGATCCAATAGAACACTTTTGTCTGAGTGCCGATGTTGAAAGCGGTCTCAGCGCTGAGGTGCTTGGGAACATGCTTACACCTTAACAAAGACTTACGACAGTCGTAACTTAGGTTGTTTTGTACAACGGTACCCTGTGTGTAGCATATTAACCATGAGTGACTTTCGAGAAACTGTAGTATCAATGACGACAAAGTTGACATAATATGCCCATGGGTTTCAACTTCTTTCTTCTGCATTGAGCAGTTGAAATCCTGTCAATTCTGTCCTTATTAAGATAGGTTTGTCAAAGAAGTTCAGAACAGTATAGTGATACTTTTGCGTGACAGGTGCGTCTAGCACACTGAGTGAGAGAGTATGGTTTTACGCCGCTTTTAGCAATATTCCAGCAATTTCACGGCGGGGGACACCAGAAATAGGTTTCACACATTGTACCCATGTCGGGAATCGAACTCGGGTCTTCGTTGTGACGAGCGACCGCTTTATCCACTAGGCTGCCCCACCGCCCACGTCTAGTATATAGTATTGTAATAACATGATTCGTTCTTGTACCGCACATGATGACATTGCCTTGAACAGGTCTTAAATTCAGCGGACCGCTTGGCTACATATACGTAGGTGTACATATTGACAGAAGTAGCGCAAATAAAACGATGGGTCATTTCAACACAGGGCGCCGTTCCACAAAGGGATCTTAGCCCTAACTCTATGTTAAAGTGTTAAAGTGTGGGAGATACGATTGCTTTATGGAACAGCGCCCTGATCTGCGAAGTGACGTTGACTGGTTGATATACATAGTTTAATCTTGAATTACATTACAGGCTTTTGCGGACATAGGTAATTAAATACATGATTCGTAGGATATAGATAATATTGCTTAGGTTAGTGATCTATTCTTCCTTGTTCGTAACCAGAGCATATCAGGAAGTGACATTTGTCTTCTACGTCTCATCGTTACACACACAGCATGTTCTTCCAACTCGTGGAAAGTTAGCGTATCTCCAAGGTCCTGCGTACAGCTGGTGAGAAAAACAACAAAAGTGGCCACTCTAATATGTTTAACAGTCACACAACTAACACGGAAATCTGTTCCCCAAACGGTTTTACTGCCATTTTGACTCATTCTATGCCAGGCCTGTTCATTGATATATTTTAGATGAGAGATGAATTCTGATGTTCAATCGGGCACAAGTGGCCCACTGGTCTTAGCCACCGCAGTTCCCTGTGCAGAATTGGATCCCTTAAGCAAGCCAGAAACCTATGATTTTGGTTTCGAATCCCAGTTCGCCTCGATTATGTTTCTAGGTTTGTCAGCACCCGACCCGTGCTCGTGGGTTTAACCAAAGCGTATAAACGTCTGAGACATGCAACACTTTCGGCTTTCCTCCCACATTAAGACGACACGGCGTGATACACCTGGGATATTGATCAGAGCGGCGTTGAACCCAACTCACTCACTCACTCTGACATAAAGGTTTTAGGGCCACGCAAATAGTAAAGTTGCAAATGTAACAAAACCTAAGCGATATAATTACAACTACCTTTCTGCAAATTGTGAGAGTGATGGGTGCTACAAGTAGGCTTACCTTTTTGGCAAACGCCTGTTTTCATGACTGGTTAACGTTGTCAGTGATCCATTCATATAATTTTCACTGCTATTTTGCCTTTTACGC